GCCCACTAAAGGAAACCATCGGTAGTTTGTTTACGTATAAAAGATATATAGATGACACTTTCATTGTACGTGACGAAAACTCTTCAACTGCTGAACTTCTTGGAATATTTAATGGTTCTCACCCATCTTTGCTTTTCACGGTCGAAGAAGAGTCGAATTCCTCATTTCACTTCCTTGATGTAAAGCTAGATAGAAGAGAGAATGGTACGTTGCTAAGGTCGATTTACCGAAAGCCAACATTCACTGGGCAGTACACTAACTTCAACAGTTGGGTACCGTTAGGGAGAAAGAGAAATCTTATTCATTCCTTATGCTCTAGAATTCGTAAAATCTGCTCTGCAGAGACAATCGATAGTGAACTAGATAAGCTTCGATCAAATCTCCTTAATAATGGTTATCCTACAAGGTTTATCGAACGTAATATCAAGAAAGAACACGCCCCCAGACAAATTACAGTGCCAAAGAAGAAACTGTTTATGAGTCTGGCATTCAAAGGTGACACCATTTCGGAATTGATTAAAAATCGTTTATCTAAATGTATTAAACGCACTTTTCCTGCAGCTGACTTACAACTAGTTTTTACCAGCCGAAATATGATTAGACAATGCGTCAAGGATAGATTACCGCTTATGTCCACATCTATGTGTATTTACTCTTTTACCTGCTCTTGTGGAGCTGATTATATTGGACGTTGTAAGCGTACTCTCCGAAAACGTGTAGCTGAACACTATCCGGTTTGGTTAATGAAAGGCGAACGTAGAACTGCGAAGTCGTCTATTTGTGATCACCTGTTAGAGTCTGGTCATTTAGCCCCACGTGATTCATCCTTCAAGGTTATCTACATGGCAAAATCGAATCGATCCAAAAGTTTACGTTTTCTTCACTTATGCATAGCCGAAGCTTTAGCTATACATGAACAGAAACCTAAATTATGTGTTCAAAAACGTTTTGTCAAACCCCTTTCTTTACCTTGGTCATAGTAATGTTCTTTCTAGTTTTTACTTTATTTTATTTTACCACTTGAATTCTTTCCACTTCACTTCACATCTTCATTCTTATCGTAATCGTACTCTTATTTTTTAAAATTTTTAGACAACACTTGACATTTTTAAAACATTTTTGATTTCAATTCACTTATAAAACAATCTTTAATAATTTTGTAATTTATCCACTTCAACTCTACCCCTTATAACATTTTAATTATCGTTATTCTTATCACATATATGTATATTGACTGAGCAATTATTTAGTGCCACTTAATGACCTTTTCTGTAATATAAATACGACTGTACAGCTTGAAAATGAAGTCGTTGAAAAGAAATTTCTTCGCTGAACAAAAAAATTTTATATTTTCTCAGATCAATTTGCTTTCTCGCACTCTGAACAGGTTTTCGTGAGAATATTCTGCAGCACTATTTTATTGGCAATAGGCCATTAACTTTTGACTGATTTAAACATGTAAGGAAATTTATCACGTGACCATAAATGGATTAAGACAAGTTGCAAATACTTATCTTTTTTGTATGCTACTCATAAGAAATTCAGTAGTATTCTGTGATGGCTTAGAAAAATGTCATGAATGTCACTAAAATAAGATATGTTATTTTTACTGATATTAATAACCGAAGGATTTTTATTGTTCTGATTCAGCAAATTACGCAAAAACGATTTTTATCAACCTGTTTTTCAGTGGTTCAGTGGAATAATGCTCTTTAGCCACGCAATTCATCAGGGTTCTGATCCCTAGTGATACACCTTTACACCCCACCCTGGTTTATTTCACTACATAGTAAACCCAAAAAAGAGAGAAGCTTGAGCTCTAGGCTGCAACCTCATCCCGTAAAAGCAACTCAAACGTCAAAGGCTAAAGCCTTAAGTTCCATTCAGATCACAAAGGATAGGAAAAAAGACAAGAATGAGTGCCTCTTGTAAATAAACCTCTTTCGGCAGACATCTGATGAAATGCTTATCTATTCAACGTTTTAAGGCAGTTAAACTTTTTCTACCTAATGATTTTACATTTCACTTAGTCTGCTACTGTACAAGAATTCAAAAATTCTCTTTTAGGCTTTTCCATAAACATCATATATATAATGTTAGTGTCGAACTTGTGCACTGTGGAAGGTAGAATGTAATTCCATATTAGATAAGTCTATTTTAAATATCACACAGAGATGCAGTATTAACAACTGGATGACGTTTCGAGCATAAATTATTTCTCATAATCATACCAATTTTAGTCACACAGTTTCACATTTTATTTTTTTTTTTTCTTATCTCCGGTATAGGCGGCGTTGCGTCATTCCGATTGCACATGTGCGGTGTTGAATCGATAAACAAAGCTTCAATGATTAACCTCTCCCTCCACCTAACTATATTACTTTTTAATACTCTCACCCTGTCCCACACACCCTATTTTTTGATTATCTGCAAGTGAATGCAATGGAATGGCCAGTATCTAACCCACCATCTTGTTTTCTTTTTATTCTACAGTCTAGCATAGCCAACTCTCCCTGTTCATCTCCTAACTCAGAAGTGAATTGGATTTCGTCTACTACTGAGTTTATAAATGTGAGAAGATGAGGGATACATTCAGATTTCAACACAGTGAATGTGTCATCCACATATCTCCACCATAACCTAGGAGCTGGATTAACCGTTCTAACAGCCTTATGTTCCCAACTATCCACAAATATATCTGCCACTACTGGGGATATTGGTGATCGCATTGCCACCCCATTCGTTCGTTGATATAGTTTATTTTGAAATTTGAATACAGTGAAGGTTAGACATAACTCAACACCTAATATTATTTCATCAACCGAGAGCTAAGTCACACTTTTGAGTTCAGGATCAGTGTTCAGTTCATTTCTAACTGCCTCTAGAGCCGTATTAATGATAATGTTAGTATGTAAACTGGTTATGTCAAAACTAATCGTATTTTCATCAATTTCAGTTGAATTTCCTGTAGTGTCTGTTTCATTACCAGGAATCAGTTAGCCTAGAATTTAACCTGTCTCTAATGGGGTATAACAATGATGTTAAATATTTCGATAACTCATAAGTCGTAGTGTTCATAATGTATCCTGCTTTATGGATTTTAATAGTCCCATACATTCTACTAGGATTATTTATTTTTGACATAAGATTAAACCATTTTGACTCAACCAAAGGTGACTTCATATGGCGTACTAGATCACTAGTAGGTTTTTGATTTTATTCATAGTAGTGTCCACAGGTTTTTTAACTTCCTCATATGGGGCTGTCTCAGCATGCTGACTGACCTTGTCTGTGTAATCTGATTTGTCCATAACTACTGTTGTATTGCCCTTGTCCGATTTTGCGATCATGTATATACATAGATATGCAGGTTGATGTCGCCGAAAGATGACGAAACAGGAACTTATTACAATCGTTCACATAACGGAAACTAGCTGTACTTAACTTATAAATGAATTGAACTAATATTCCTTATCTAGTCTATCAGTTAACTAAAGTTTGTTAGTGTTTTAACTGATAAAATCTGTTCCGTATTGGTCATATCCTTTGTGACTGAATAGCTTCACCTTATCACTTTCCATATCTTAAATCCCTCTGTCATCAAATATTCCTTAATATTTCTCCCAATAAGTATAACTAATATATTATCAAGTTTGCACTTTTCTCATCTTGTCACATTAAAAAAATGATTAATTTGCGCGGTCCCATATTGATGTGTTTGCTGAGTATATCCTATAAGAAAACAGTAGTGTTAATTTGATGACATTTCAGACACAATTTACTGCTCGTAATCATATCATCAGTTGTGAAGACACAACTTCAAAACTTCATCTTTATAGTTATATTTCTTCTTTCTCATTTGTTGCAGGAGCAGTAGAATTTTCCCTATGTCCGACTGTTCAGGTGTTGGATCATTCCTACTACACGTAATCTCAACTGATTGAATAAACAAAGCTTCAGTTGTAAATCTCTTCCTCCACGCTGTTAAATTAGATCTTAAAACTGTCACCTTGTCCCATCCTATTGTATGGTTTTGTGTAACTGCATGTAGTGCTATTCTCCACGAACTATCCTCCACATTTTTTATCTTATTGGGGTCTACTAATCTAAATTTTGGTAGGTTTTTATGCTCCACTAGTTTGACTGACACCGTTCTACCTTGTTTGACCTGGGTATCTCACCTGAAAATCGTTGCAATCACTGCAGTGATTGTTATAATAAATTTTTCTTAAATTAACGTTAGTATTTCAGCCCTGACACAGTGTTTGTTATCCAAACGTATTGACTGGCATTTGCCATTACTGTGCTACCCCGCCTCCACCCGGAGATCTGTCCTGGAACACTTTATCGATTCTGGACACCAAATGAACTCACAAATCAGCTTCAAAAATATTTACAAAGTACATAGGAATCTTGTCAAAATTGTACACCTTAAAACTGCAGTTCATATGCTGTCTCCTGAACCCTGCATGCGGAAGAGGTTTGAACAGCCACTGAATTTTTGAAGGACATAATTTGTCTAAACATTTCACAAATTTTTCATTTTTTTCATTTTCTCTCCTCCAACAGCTACAGCTGTTGTCCTTGTGACAGTGATATTGACTTGACCTTCTTTTAGTTTTGGTTGAAGCCTACTAGATCCTGTTGATTACGTTGCGTCAGTCAATTTTACTTTAGTTCGAACATAAGTTCCTCTCAAATCTCTTGATTGTTGTGCTTTCGTACAAAGAAGGAAGCTTACCTACTTTGAAGGGTTGCTTTCTGTAATGATCTTTAAATAATCTAGTTGGTCTTCTTGTTTCATGCATTTACATACCTTAAATTAAAGATAATTTAGATATCCAAAGTATTCCGCAAATGATTAAAGACGTAATCAAACTGTTTCGTGCTATGGGCATCTAACAAACAAACTAACGTGAAAATAAATAGTGACACGGTTTGCAAGCTTCACACGTCTGCTATCTTGGTTGTTTGTATAGTAAAACAAAAGCCAGTTAAAGTATAATTCAAAGATATTTGCTAGAAAAGATAATGACTATAAATTAAGTAAGTTATTATACAGCGATAAAATTAATGAGCACCAACTTTCTGTGAATAAATCTAATGAGCTAGCCAAAAGAACAGCATAAAAACACCTTTATAAAATCTCAGGAATGTCAATGCTGCTTGTGTGAATTTCACGTAAATTATACATAGAGAAAAGTACATAGGCTTCTCATTATTTATTTGCCCCGATGGCTGTTTTATATTCGCAGAGTGTGATTACTCCATCCCCATTTAAATCAAGACGTTCCATAAGTCTCTTTGAAATGAAAAGGATACGAACAGAAACAGAAGAATTAAAAGGAGGTTATTACAATACATTAAACGTTGATAGTGAATTCAGTGAGTTAGGTAAAAGAATAATTACACATCTTTTAGTGGAATTAATAAAAATACACCGTAGATGTTATCAAAAATCCCTTACAGACCTCTTGAGCTTCAATGTATTATCCAACAGAGGTCGATGTAACAAAATGCAAATCAGTCCCATTCCGACATAATACTTAGATACATATGACGAGTCATGGAATCCAGAATGTGCAGTTAAAAATTTTCAAAGCTTCTCAAGGGTATGTACTAGCATTTTTATCCAGTCTCTAATTAAGAATCAATCATCTCAAAGTCCAGAACCTGATTCTGACAAGATAGTGAGTTGTTTGCAGTAATCTATGAGTTTTGATTAACTTTTTACATAAAAAGATAGAAATTAACGACAAATCCTCATATATTTAGCCAAAATGCGTCAAACAACAGAAGCACATATCTTTAATCATATATTGTATACAATTCTGACAGCCTGTCAGAATGTTTGTTTAGTGTCAAGGCGTTGTGCATTTCCTGTCTACTTCATTCTGAATTAAGACGTAACTCATATAGCAAGAACCATTTCCCCACAAAGGGTGAACTGGATTGAGAACCCTTTAAGTTGTTTACCATAGTGGCATCTTAATAATTTCTCTTCCCATTGGGTTCCAAGTGGAACGTCGGGATTCAACAGCTCACTTCCATCTCACCGCGTCCACTACAGTCCTATTCATCTGGCCCCACGACTGTTCATAAGCCTCCACCTTACTCTCATTCGATCTTCTCCATGTCACGGTCAGACCCCACGCCCAACTCGTCGTTGCCCATTTGGGTTCTTTCGAGTGGTTACCTGGTGTCTCCTTAGTTTGTATCCAGTCTATCTCCATTTTCAAATGCATATTTATTGAACAGTTAGTTGTTGGCTCGTTCTTTCCCTGATCCCCGTGTTACCAATCCTTTCCGGTCATCTGATCTCCAAGCAGCTGCTGATAAAAGTTTGCATCTTGATGGAAAGGCTATTCGTGACGCTTCAAATACAGAATCATCAAACCGTTGTTACCTCAACGATTTGTTGGTTTTAAAGAATTTCTACTATTAATTCTGCCGTAAAGTTGTTTGAATCCCCTTGGCTATTTGGTTATGGCGTATAGCTGTAATCTGGCTACCTGGAGGCCACAATGCGGAAATTCCCGAGACCGGGAGTTCTGGCATATGGGTGCCCTTGTTGGTCGGGCCTCCACGCTGAGTACGGCACCAATATGGATGACCTGTCGGAGGGTGGGTTGTCCAGGTCAATTAAGGGGGCTGACCGGCTTAGGAGGGAAACCCAGCAGGCAAAAGTCCCTATGCGGCGCGATATCAGGATAGTGCCTGTGAGTGGTGGCCATGTGACAGCCCGATCGAGGCGTGGATGTCACCTCCTATTTAGATGATAGCAGCCTGCTTGAATCAGTGGGCTACCTGAATTTCCATCCGTGATAGTGCATCTCATTTCCTTTAATTATTGCTCTTATAATGATTTAATTACGTCCGTGGTTCGCCGAAAATTCTCATTCACATTTTTAACTGTTTTGCAACCTATTGTTGCTCATTTCTGGGGGATCAAAGAAAAATACCATAAAGGATTATTTTAAGCTATATATATATAATAATATATATATAATTCTGTTAATCGTACGGACGGCAAATATGTGCATAGAAAGTGTTCAGTAGGTTTTAGAATTCAGCGCATTGATATTTACCTGTAAAATAGTCGGTGAAACTCCAGCCCTCTGTAGTCCTTCGAACAGTTCCTTTCGTGAAACAGAACCGTCACCACTGGTATCGAGTTTGTAGAACAATCGAATTAACATTTCTGTATCAGTCATTGTTCTTTACAGTTGATGTATACTTTGTCTTGCCCTTCTACACGAAGAAACAGTGACGAAAATCAAAACACGAATTCACTTATGGTGTAAATGCAGCAGGCGTCTGTAAACAATAAACACAATAAACACGATGAAACTGAGTAAATAAGGTGTACAAATAAAAATCTTGGAAATTCTAGTGGTATGACTCAGAAAATAATCAAATTGCCGACATTTCGTATTTCGCTTCAGTTTTCTTTAGGCTTGATCACTTGGTAGACAGAAGCCACTCACAACAATTCATGAGGCGTTAGGAAATTAATCCAGTACTGATGTCAAGACTGATGAAGTTTGGTGGTCCTTTGTTAGAATACTCGCAAACTAAGCATGTATTCTGGGGTTCAAAAGCCGGCCAATGTGTTCCTAGACGTCGCCTTGTTTACTAGCCAATAGTTATTAGAAGTTTGGAGGCGGTCAACAGCACCTAGGTTTCGTACTAGTTGGCACCTGTCGGCAGGGCGTGTCTGCAGCCTTCAGTGAACTCATGTCCCTTCTGAGATTCGAACCCGCGTCACCCAGTGCTGCAGTCAGAGATGTTACCGCTAAGCTACCTAGATTGGTGGTCACATTGCAAGCCAGACTGACAGAATTCAGTCTGCACCAAACAAAGGACTAGACACACCATACTAGTTTCTAGTGTGCATTCAAAGTAGACAATAGTTAGTCTGGGAAACAGAAAAGTTTGGAGGTTAGGCTAACAGTCCCACGCTGTGAAAACAACATCACCGCCACTGAAACGTCATGACTCAAGTTTAGAGTCCTATCTATCACTTGGAAGGCAAATAAATGAGAAAAGAGCAAACAAAATCCATTCGTGGCTCTATTCTATCTCATCGTGTGGACACAGAACACAAGATTGATGTTAACAAGGTGGCTTTCAAAGTCATTTACTGCGTACCAACAAATCTTAATTTCACCTTAAGAGTTCAATTACTAAATATTGATGAGGCTGTTGGGATCCACATTAAGAAGCCTAATTTATAGGTCCAAAAGAAGTTAGTTCAGACATTATCCTTACCTTGGCTATCTAGATTTGAATGATCCTCAATTTTTGTGGAATTTTCCTAATTTTAGTTGATATTCTATTTGCTATTATATCTTTATTATTATTATTATTTAAGCATCTTTAATGAACTGACATTCCATTGATCTTACTTTACAAATCGATATTATTTAAAAAACACTAATATTGTTATTGACTACTATTCTAGAATATTCTATGTATATAAACATATATGTATGATTGTAGAGCCAGAAGAGGAAATTATCGAAAAGGATATTCTTTGCTCAATTATTTTGTTTGGTTTTTTATAAATTTACATTTAATCGACTGCCTCATACCATCCAGACCAACGTCACACAATTCCCAACCCTAAACACTAGGAAAATGCTTCCCAACGTTTCCCAATATGAGAAAAATAACATGCAACCAAATGTCTCCAACAAATGTCATCCGCAACAAGGGAAATTCCTCATTCAATCAGAAGAATGTACTAATAGTTCTCAAAATCAGCCATATTTTCCAACTATTAGAAACTCATTTTGTTGTGTAACCAACATGACATTATAAACTGGCTAGAATTTTCTACAACTTCCATATGAGAAGTAATGCAGTTCTGTGAAGTGAAGACATTTGCGTTTCGTAGTGCTACGAATGTTACTCAAGAGATTAATTTTCAGGTGGACAGGAATGTTCTTCAGGGGGAAAGAAAAAAATGTGTGCTAGAGGAATATACAATGTGTACTTCACACTTGAATTAGCCTTTTATATTTAGATTATTTGTTTAAAAATGAAGCTACTTTATAATTCAAGGAAAAGTCTCTTCAATATAATTCTCCTTTAAATGTATTTCAGAGTTTACTTACAATACTACTCATGAGTAGTTAATATTTATCATGAGAATTTCCAAACGCACTGGCCTTACTGTATTTCATTAGCGAAGTGTACATCAAATAGGTTTGTACAACCTGAAATCTCATTCTGAATGTCAGACATCTAGATAAGCTGTGTTAATTTATTTTACAGATTAAAAGTTGTTAGCTGTTCTAAAGTTGACGCTATTTCTCAGTGAAAGCTCCATCCAGTTGAGTCTTCTGTGTGCTTCCAGTTGGTAGTTTTCGAATTGTCTTCAGTAAAAGTTTAAAGTTTACTTACATATTTGATGAATACTGAATAATCAGCGATTTTTAAGAAGTTGCGCAATTATTTGAATTTCACATAGTACAGTTATAATCACGAATGTAATAGTGCTGTTAGATGATTAGAGGTAATTTTCGGCAAGCCTTGGAACGAAGTTACACCCATTTTGACAATCATTAGACAAAATAGGTAACTAAGGTCTCGAAAGAACTCATGTTCCTCCTAGGATTCAAACCCAAGTCACTCACTGCTGTGGTCAGAGACATTACTACTGAGCTCTCTGGGCTCACGACTGACATCATATAGGACTGTTACGGATACTTTGATTGGACACTAATTAGTAATTAATGTTATGCATCTAGGCCTTTGTGGGGCACAGACTGAATTCCGTCAGTCAAGCTCGAAGTTTGGATACCGTGCTAAGTGGCTGAACATCAGGGTTTACTCTGAAATGTTGTAAGATAGCTCGAGGAGATCAAAAAGAAACCATGAGATTAAATATGTCAGACATTTAGACATCTCATGACAACAGTCATCATTTTCTAAGCACAAGAAATCTTAGTAGTTTGTCACTGGGTTTTATTGTAATCGAATGAAAGAATACTGGACAATAAAGTAAGGCAGAATACCAACTGTTCCTACAGTATTTTCAACTGTGAAAATGATGCAACTCAAAAAGCAAGCCACTGAAACTTAGATTTGAAAACGAAGTAATTTTAGTGATTCCCTCCTTCCTTTTGAGGAAGGGCACATGTTGAGAAGACCGTCTAATAAAATCGCCCTCTAGGCCCTCGAGTAGAATCCGAATGGGAAGCGACGAGTGGGTCATCGGTGAGAGGGTGACATGGAGGAGATCATAGGAGGAGATGAAAGTTTATAGGCGCTCATAGAGCCAGAGAAACAGGGTGAAATGCAGATGTGCTGTTAAGACCCTATGTTCCACTCAGAAACCAGGGGGATAATAATAATATGCTACAAACAACACCAATTGCCATCAACAGGCGAAACTTGAAAGAGGTCACTTCATTCACTTATCTAGGAAACATTGTTTCAACCACAGGCGGATGAAGATGTCAAAGCCAGCCAGAATGGGAAAGGCAGGATACGCCTTCATCAACCTGAAAGTAGTTTGAAAATCTTCTGCAGTCCACGGCATAAAGAACAAGATTCAGATGTTCAACACAAATGTCAGTGAAGTCAGTCAGTACTTTGCGAGCGCGCCACGAAATGGATTTACATCAAGTTACGGACTTTTATCAACATACTGAAGATCAAATGGCCGGTTGGCCAGAAAGAATTAACAGTAAGAAACTATGGCTGGGAACAAACTAACCAAAAGCATATCTTTCAACAAATGTGTAGGAGAAAATGGAGATGGACCGGACATACATTGAGGAAACTGTCGAATGACATCTGGTGCAATGCAGGCCATCACTCCAGTGGAATCCAAATGGAAAGCAACGGGTGGGGGGGTGACATGGAAGAGATGGCGTGGGGAGGAGGTGATGAGAGATTATGGGCAATTGTGGATCCAGCTGAAGAGGACAGCAAGAAATAGAAGGAAGTGGAAATTTGTTGCTGAAGCCCTGTATTCCACTTAGAATCCAAGGGAATCATAATAATCCTTCCTATTATTGGCTTCGTTATGTCATGATAGGCTGGCACAAAAGAACAATAATAGAGGAGAAGGTCTGACCTCTTGGTTTATTTGCCATTACATAAATGTGACGATGATGCTCTTATTTTATTGAAGAGTCAAGTAATAAAGAATATTTGTAGCTCAGATGGATGATTTCGATGTAGTTGTGTTCTCTGAGCTGGATAGTTAATTTGCGAAGCTTTCATAGCCCTACTAGGCGACATCTTCAGTGCATACTTCAATTTGAAGTGAGCTTTTAGATTTTGCCACGAGTTTATTAATCATCTCTCCTGGTGAACTTGGACGTGACTGGTTGTTTTCGTGTGTTTTCACACCTTCTAGGTGACTTGTATTGTCACTCATTGTTTCTTTGGCTTGAACTTTGACCCTTTGTGTGTGATCACACAGACCAAATCCTGAATTACAACAGCAACAATCCAATAACACACAAAAGGAATTGCATACAAACACTATTCAAGAGGGCAAGGACTCATTGCAGCACTCCCACCTTAGGAAAAATTGATGAAAAATATCTCATGGACGTCTTCCGAAAGAATGGATATCCACGGAATTTCATCAAAAGTCATATACCTCCAAGCCAACCTATCAAACCAAAAGCCCCCAAAGAAAGCACAAAGAAAATCGCCTTACCATATATAAAGGATATCTCAGAAATCACTACAAGACTCTTCAAACCTTTAGGAATTGACGTCACACACAAACCAACAAAATCATTTCACTCAATTCTAAGTCAAGCAAATGACTCAACAACGAAAGAAGATAAAACCAACATCATCTACAACATAAATTGTAACAACTGCGAAAAACACTACATTGGCCTAAGTGGACGCCCCCTTCGTCTTCGTATCTACGAACATAAGGTAGTCGTCAAAAGATATGATATCCACTCCCTCATATCACTACATATAGATAACCACGGACATCAATTCGACTGGGACAACGTTCAATTACTAGACAGAGGAAACAACAAGAATGCTACAGAATTTTTAGAAGCCTGGTATTCCAGTGAATCGTCAATCAATAGACACATCGAGACAGACAAAATTTATCAACCGATAAGAAAGAAACCTCACACACAAAGGGCTAAACTTCAGGTCAAGGAAACAATCACTTCACTAATACAAGTAACCTAGAGGGTGTGAAAAACACCAAAACAATCAATCACGTCCACGGTCACCAGGAGAGATGACTAATAAACTACTCGTGAAGAAATCTAAAAGCTCACTTCAAATTGAAATATGCGCTGAAGATGTCGCCTAGTAGG